CCATAGAATACGCCACATACGCAAAGAAAAGTGACGAGCCGAGGCCTCACTTGCAAGATAATAACTAAAATACACTAAAACACTATTTATGTGTGCATGTGATCATGAAACCATATTGTATTCACTAAGCTTTTAGCTTATACTATACATGTATATATCTCAGGTGTCATTTGTCAGTAGACGAGTTGAATGAAGAAAGACGGGACTATGTTTTGAATCATGTTTGATTAGATATTTTAATTAGCATTGATTACGTTAAAGTATTTTACACTTCCGCAATTATGTAACGAGTTATGTTTAACACATTATGTATGTTTGAATTTTTAAGTTCGTATTTGTTAATGACATAAGTTATTAAGAATGACGTCACAACACTCGAACAAAAGGAAAAAAAAATCGGGGCGTGACACCTAATGTCTTTAAGATTACATGAAACACAATCTGGTATGTATATATGCATTGCATACAACTTTTGGCTTAAATTTTGTTTTACCTTTACAATCATTGATCTCTTTGATGATTTCTTAGTTGTTTACACAGCATAAATTAATTGTTGCTCGCAACTATTTGATTATTAAATCATACAATGATCCTTTTAAATAATACAAGTACGTAATAAATAGATACAACTATTCAAATATACTATAAGATTGTTGATGTGAGAGCGCCGTATGCAATTATATATGTGTCAACAAAAAATCCAAAACCAAACTACAAAAAATACGATACTCAATAATTCATATATTGAACACATGAGATGAACATGTACAATGCTTTTACATTTTATTAGCAAGCTCATATTGGTTCAAATTGTTAGATAAATAACTTATGTATATTTATTTTTTATCTTACGTAGTAAGAAAACTTAAAAACGGTTTATTTTAACATGTTTTATTAGTTTACTATACGAAGACGACTGAAAGTGGGATTCAAAAATCATAGTTGCTCTGAATCTAATAAATTCCACATGACCTCATCAGTAGAGAAATCAAAAAAACTATTTTCGTTGTCCTCGGCAACATTTAAAGCCTCCCCCTTCGTTTGAGAACCATCAAATGACCACCCAATTTCACTGTCAATTATTTTTTCCCCTTCATCAAATAACTCCTTCAAGAACCCGTTAATCGTGTTATCTAATACTGTTGGTGACGAGATTAACCCTGGGGACATATTATAGTTGTTATCGACACCATCATTTGATGATCTTATTAAAGTCCCATTGTTATGAGTTTCCACGATCTGGTTGTCATCCTTGAACCAATATAGGGGTTTGGATAATGTATGTGGTTGAGGCTTGATAATTGTTACCATCGTGCAATCTTTTGATGATTTAGCATCTTCAGGTTCTTTCTTTTGTTGTTTGGCATAGGAGCGGAGGTGGGTATTCCAATAGTTCTTCACATCATTCGATGTTCTTCCGGGTATTCTTCCAGCAATCAATGACCATCTGAATTAATGAATGAAAAATAATTATTACATTATTTGCACCAAATAACTATTTAAATACAATTAACTTTCGTTTGAAGTTCAATGAATGAAAAAGAATATTATATTATTTGCATCGAAATAAATATTTTAATATACTTGACTTTCATTTGAAGTTCAAAGGAGATCAAGTGTAATATCTGTTTTTACAAACTTATATTTAAACGCTACTTGCCTATTGCCTAGAAGCTTGTGAAGCCTAAGTATGAGATCAACTTCATCTTCTTCAAAATCCCCTCTTTTTATATTTGGCCTCAGATAATTCAACCATCGCAACCTACAACTCTTTCTGCATCTTCTTAAACCTACAAGAAAAATATTAATACGAAATAATTTATGGCAAAAAACCCATATAATATTTTTTCTTTCTTTGAAGACATTATAAAAACGGTAATGAATACCAAAAAGAGTACATGATGTGTGTTACCTGAATTCATAGAAACAAGATGCCATTTTCCTTCACCATATTTTTCAATATAGTTTCTGAGAAGCGTATCTTCTCCGGCAGTCCATGCACCTTTCTTCAATGCTAAACCCATATTGGAAACATGCTTCATTTTTTTGTACTCCATGCAAGTATTGTTCTTCATTCTTCTGTTCTCCATGCAAGTTACATGAAGCACATGCTGGCTTCCTCTTTGTGCATAAACCCTAATCGAAGTCCCTTTTATAGACAAATGAAACTATATGTTTTGAACCACCCCCACACCCATACCCCTCTCACATATATATATACCACCTACGTGCACCTTGATTCTTCCACAAATATGTGACTCCAGTACTCATTCGGGAAGTGAGAAAGTTCCAAATATAATATGGAAAAAATAATGATAATATAATATATAACTTAATAATAATAATGATAGTTTCTTGAAGCATTTTTTAAAATTTCTTTAAAATGGGAGAATGGAATTTTAAAATCTTTTAAAAACGTAAATACATTTAACTACAAAAGATTCTTGAGGTTGGAGATTAAACATCGATTATTATTAAAATATTATATTCGTTTAATAAAATATTATTTTTCTTCCAAAAGTTTTAATGTTTATGCGTGAACATATTAAAAATATATTTCTCTCCCATTAGTTTATACGGTTTCTTAGAAATGCACGGTCATTTGAACGTGTCCATATATATATATATGTATATATATATATATACATATATATAGGGGCACGTTCAAATGAAAACCGTGCATTTCTAAGAAACCGTGTATACCAATTTCGACCAATAGGAAAACTCCATTTTTTTTTTCTAATTAAAATTAATCAATAAGGGTATTTCAGTCATTTACAATATTTTCTATTAAATATGGAAGTTATTAATAAATCTTAATTAAGGAAACGTAATAAAGAAAATTGTATAAATGGTAACATTTAAATATTTAATTATATTATAATATTAAAAATTTGAATTTCATATATTGTAATCTTTAAGAATCAGCAAAGGGGTTTTGATAAAACAATTGAAGTGTATAATGAAATCATCAAATCGTAGATGAACAAAAAAAATCCAGAAATGAAACAGGTTTCATGAACGTGAAACTGGTTCATGTTGCAAATAAATTATGTGAACCGAAACATTTTCATGGTGAACCCGTTGCATTGATTGTGTAGTTGATCAATTTAGTTGGTGAAGAGGAAAATGAAACTGGTGCATTTTGTATTTGATGTGTTATGAACTAAGTGCATGATGAAACGAAGAAATAATTTTAATCTGCTACAGAATCTTGAAGATTGTAACATGCTCCAGAATCTTGAAGATTGTAAGGCTTAAAGGAATGAATCCATCAAACCAGTGGTGAAATAAGAAAATTACTGTACATGAAATAGGTTTCATGAAAGTGAAACTGGTTCATGGCGTTCTTGAGCATGACTAGTGAAACGGTTGCATAATGTATTGGTTCGTCATGAAATAATTGAATGATGAAACGGGTACATGAAAAAACTGCTTCAGAATCTTGAAGATTGTAATATGCTTTAGAATCTTTAAGATTGCAAG